CATCCATCATCCATCATCCATCATCCATCCATCCATCCTCCATGGATGTTTCTCTTTCCTGAGATGGCTCTCCCCCAGTTTCAGTTTGAATTTTCCTGGATCCCACAAAAATTATCTCCAAATCTCCCTGGGGAGGAGGTGGGGGAAGCATTTTTGGAGTAGAGGGGAAGAGCAGGAAAAGGGAGACTCATTCTGAGGGAATGCACCCAGTGTTGCCTCTGTCTCCTCAGATCCCATCCCCCCTCTATCCCCGCTCCATCCCCGCTCCATCCCCAGCTCCATTCCCGCTCCATTCCCAGCTCCATCTCTGCTCCATCCCCGCTCCATTCCCAGCTCCATCCCTGCTCCATCCCCGCTCCATCTCCGCTCCATCCCCGCTCCATGCCCAGCTCCATCCCCAGCTCCATCTCCACTCCATCCCCGTTCTATCCCCAGCTCCATCCCCAGCTCCATCCCCGCTCCATCCCCAGCTCCTTCCCAGCTCCATCCCCGCTCCATCCCCGCTCCATTCCCGGCTCCCGGTGCCTTTAATTCCCGTTTCCCGGCGCAGGCCCGGCCCCTCCGGTGACACAGCAGCGCCGGCGCGGGGCCGGGCGGCAGCGCGGGGAGGCTGCGGCCGGAGCGGGGCCGGGCCGGGCCCTCCGCCGCTCATGGCCCTGCCCGGGGCCCGCTCCGCCCGCCCGGAGCCCGGGGAGAGCCCGGCCCTGAGCCCGCAGCGCCGCCGGTGCGTCCGGGGGGACACGGGAGAGGGATGGGGGCGCGGGGGGGCCCGGGGATGGGGGCGCCGGGGAGGCTCCCGTGCGTCCCGGGGGTGCGGGACCGGGAATGGGGACACCGGGAGAGGCTCCGCCCGCCCGGAGCGCGGGGACAGCCCGGCCCTGCCGAGCCCGCAGCGCCGCCGGTGCGTCCCGAGAATCCCGGGGAGGGGACACGGGGAGAGGGGATGAGGGAATAGGGGATGGAGGATTCAGGAATAGGGGATGGAGGAACCGGGGATGGAGGATTCAGGAACAGGGGATGGAGGAACCGGGAACTGGAGGATGCAGGGAGCGGGAATCAGGAATGGAGGCTCCGGGGATGGAGGAAGCGGGGCTGGAGGATGCGGGGATAGGGAATGAAGGCTCTGGGGATGGAGGGTGAGAGCGGCGGGGACAGACGGAGGGGGATGCGGGGAGCGGGAATGGAGAGCGGCAGGGCTGGAGGATTCAGGAACAGGGGCTGGAGGGTTCGGGAATGGAGAATGCGGGAGCAGGAACGGAGGATGAGAGCGGCGGGGATGGAGGATTCGGGGAGCGGCGGGGATGGAGAATTCGGGAATGGGGAATGGAGGATTCGGGAACGGGGAATGGAGGATTCGGGAACCCGGGATTGAGGATTCGGAGAGCGGGGCTGGAAGCTGCGGATACCGGAGCCCCGGAGGGCGCGAGGACCGGGGCTGGGAGATGCCGGTACCGGGGGTAGGGGAACCCGGTACCGGAGATGGAGGATGCCGGTACCGGGGATCGGGGATGTCGGTACCGGGGCTGGGAGATGCCGGTACCGGGGATGGGAGATGCCGGTACCGAGGAGAGGGGATGCCGGTACCGGGGCTGGAGAATGCTGGTTCCGGGAATGGGGAATGGCGATACCAGGGCTGAGAGATACCGGTACTGGGGATGGGAGATGCCGGTACCGGGGATGGCGGTACCAGGGATGGGGAATGGCAGTACCAGGGATGGGGAATGGCGGTACCGGGGATGGGGGATGGCGGTACCGGGGATGGGGGATGCCGGTACCGGAGAGGGAAACGTTGCTCTCCGGAGCCCCCCCTCCACGTGCGCACCCCCGAACCAGCCCCCCGGCCCCGCCCCGCTCCCCCCGCGCCGTTCCCGGTTCCCGGGGGGGCACTCGGGGGCACGGCTCGTTCTCCCCCCGCCGCGACCGGGGCGGGGCCGGGATCCGGCGGCTCCGGGAGGGGGATGACGGCGGGAAGGGCTCCGGGGCCGCTGCCACCCCCCTGCCGGGCTGGCACCGCCGGTAACGTGTGTGTCCCCCCCCGCGACAGCGAGCGGAGCAGAGCGGCCCCGGCCCCCGCGGAAAAGCCCTGAGGGAGGCGGGAGCCGGCGAGGAGGAGGAGGAGGAGGAGGAGGGGGAGGAAGCGAGGGAAGGAGCCACGGGAAAACAGGACAGGGAAGAGCTCGGAGCGGAGCCCGGGAGCGGCCGGTGAGTGCAGAGCTGTCCCCGTGTCCCCCGGGATGTCGCTGTCTGTGTCGCCCTGGCTGTCCCTCTGTCCCTGAGTGTGTCCCCCTGTCCCTCTGGGTGTCCGTCCCCGGGAGGCCCCACCGGCCCAGGCTCAGAGCGGGGGGACTGAGGGAGGCCACGGGGGGGGTGACAGCGACATTCCCAGGCCCCATCCTGCCCCCCCCACCCTCAATTCGACACGCGGGGAGCGGCCAGAGCCCTTCCCAAGGATTTTCCCGGCCCTTGTCCCTCTGTCCCCGCAGGAGGGGACACCCCCGCTGACCACCCGCAGCCAACGCCGGACCTGCCACCCCTCCTTGGGGACACCGAGCCGCTGGAATTCCGCTTCCCGGCAAATCCCAGCCTCTCCTCCTCCTCCTCCTCCTCTTCCTCCTGCTCCTACCGCTGCCGGCGGTGTCACCCCAGTGCCACCACCCGAGTCCCCCCGCATGGTGCGCCCCGATCCCCCCGGGAAGCCGCGGCGGCGTTAAAATGGTGAGAGCTGCCCGGGCCGGGCCGGGCGGGGAGCAGCGGGATGGACACCGGCCCGGGAAGCCCGGGCGAGTAGGGAACGATGGACACGCGGAGCCGCCGGGATGCGAAGCGCACGGAGCGGCCCGGCAGCGGCACCGGCACCGGCAGCACCGGCACCGCTGAGGGCGAGGGAGAGCGGGAGCGCATCCGCGGCCGCATGAGGATGGTGATCGGGCAGCTCGAGGGAATCCTGCGAGAGCTCAAGGAGGTGGCCAAGGAGCTCCGCGAGGTAGGAAAATGCCGGGATAACGCTGGTCCCAAAAGGGAAGGGGCTGTTCAAATTTTCTCCCATTCCCAGCTCGGGATGTGGCAGCAAAGGTGGAGGGGGGGGATGTCCCTGAGCTGCGTTTCCAAAAGAGAGGAGGAAATTCGAGTGTGATTTGCAAAATTCTGAGATTCCTGAGCTGGGTTTCCAAAAAAGAGGAGGAAATTCGGCAGTGATTTGCAAAATCCCAAGGCAGGAAAACTCCTGAGCTCGATTTCCAAAAGAAAGGAGGAAATTGGGGTGTGATTTACAAAATCCAACTCCTGAGCTGGATTTCCAAAAGAGAGGAGGAAATTCGAGCGTGCTTTACAAAATCCTGAGATTCCTGAGCTGGATTTCCAAAATATAGGTGAAAATTTGGATATGATTTACAAAATCCCAAAGCAGGAAAACTCCTGAGCTGGGTTTCCAAAAGAGAGGAGGAAATTCGAGCGTGCTTTACAAAATCCTGAGGTAGGGAAAAACCAATGTTGGGATGGTCCTGTCCCAGTTTTCCCCTTTCCCAGGCTGGGATGGGGTGGCAGAGGGATCCTAGGAAAAAATCTGGCTAAGGAGCCAAAAAATCTGGAGGAAATTGCAAAATCCTCGGTTTGCAAAATCCCGAGGTAGGAAAACCCCTGGGATAACCTTGACCCCAAAAGGGAGGATCCCATCCCAGTTTTCCCAATTCCTGAGCTGGGATGGGGCAGCAGAACCAGCTCAGCACCCCCAGCCCAGGTGGGATCTCCCTGAGCTGGATTTTCCCCCCAAAAAAAGGAGAAATTTGGGAATGGTTTGCAAAATCCACCTCAAGCCAGGGTTTGTTCCCTCCATTCCCAGCCCCAGGAGGGATCTGCCTGAGGGGGAAGTTGGATTTTCCCAAAAAAAAGGAGGAAATTTGGCCTGGTTTGCAGAATTATTCTTGACCTCAGAGTTTGTTCCCTCCATTCCCAGTCACAGGAGGGACCTGGCTGAGCTGGATTTTCCCCCAAAAAAGGAGGAAAATTTGCAATCCAAATTTCCCCCCTTTCTGAGGCCAATTTTCCGCTTTATTGATCCAAATGTCTCCCTCTTTCTGTCCCAAATGTCACCTTTTTTGGGCCAAATTATCCTGTCAATTGATCCAAATTTTCCCCTTTTTTATTCCAAAATTTATCCAAAACATCCCAAAATTCAGCTTCTTGACCTAAATCTCACCGGTCCCACCAGGATAACCCAGAATTCCAAAATCCAGAGCTCTGGGGTTTTTTTTCCCAAAACCACACAGAATTTGGGCTTTGGGAACTCATGGGATGGGTTTGGCTTGGGGTCCCCTCAGAGCCACCAAAGGGTCCTGGATTTGTGACACTGGGGTGTCCCCATGGTGCCACCACAGAATCTTTGGAAATTTCCTGGCTGGTGGCTCCAAGCTGAGGTGGGATCATGGATTGGGGTCCCCTCAGGGCCACCAAAGTGTTCTCAGGGCCACCAAAGTGTCCTGGATTTGTGACATTGGGGTGTCCCCATGAAGGATTTGGGATGTCCCCAACTGATGACTCCAAGCCGAGGTGGGATCGTGGATTGAGGTCCCTCAGGGCCACCAAAGGGTCCTGGATTTGTGACACTGGAGTGTCCCCATGGAGCCACCATGGGATGTCCATCCCAGGGACATTCTGCTCAGGGCCACCAAAGTGTCCTGGGCTTGTGACACTGGAGTGTCCCCATGGAGCCTTTGGAATGTCCATCCCAGTGTCCATCTCTGCTCGGGGCCACCAAAGTGTCCTGGATTTGTGGCACTGGGGTGTCCCCATGAAGGATTTGGGATGTCCCCAACTGATGACTCCAAGCCGAGGTGGGATCGTGGATTGAGGTCCCTCAGGGCCACCAAAGTGTCCTGGGCTTGTGACATCCCAGTTTTCCCGGTCTCCCTCCTTCCATCCCATCTGTTTGTGTCCAGAATTATTCCCTGATGATTAAAATCCTTGGATGGAAAAATCCCCAAATTTCCATTCAACCCCCCCAAAAAATTCCCATGGGAAGGGCTCATCCTGTCTGGAATTGCTGGAATGGGATCAACGGGATCCCAGCACCCCAAAGGGTTCCCTCCCAGCCTTTTCCCTGGAAAAAATGAGAATAAATTCCTTAATAATGATGGGATCAATAGGGGATTAACTGGGAATGCTCAGGAAAGTCCAGGGATTGTTATCCCAAAAACAACAGCTTTGGGAGAGGGTTGGGAATTATTTAGGAACTGGGTTTGGGGGGTTTTGGGAGCTGTGTTTGGGGATTTTGGCTCTTTTTTCCAGGGATGGATGCCAGGAAAGGCCTTTAGGGTGATTTGGGAATAGGGCCAGGGAATTTTAGGTCCTGGACAGATCCAGGTTGGATCCAGCCTGGAATCAGCTGGAAAATCCATCCCTGGGAGTGTCCCAGGCCAGGCTGGACTTTGGAGCTTGGAGCAACCTGGGATAGTGGGAAGGGATCTAAGAATTCCAACCCAAACCAGTCCAGAATTCCATGGAAAAGCTTTGGATCCCAAAATGGGAAAACCATTCCACACCTCTGGAATGTATGGAGGGGACACCCCAAACAGTGCCAGGCCTGGATCTCCCCATCCCAGGCTTGGATCCACTTCCCAAATCCCTGTGGGGATGGAAGGGCTGTCAGATCCCAGCCCTTGGATCCCATCAGATCCCATCAGATCCCATCCCTTTGATCCCATTGGATCTCAAACCCTTGATCCCATCAGATCCCATCCCTCTGATCCCACCAGATTCCAACTCTTTCGATCCCAATATCCCAACCATGTGATCCTGTCAGATGCCATCCCTTTGATCCCACTGGGTCTCAAATCCTTGATCCTATTGGATCCCATCCCTCTGATCCCATCAGATCCCATCCCTCTGGATCCCATCAGATCCCAACTCTTTGATCCCATCAGATCCCATCCCTTGTATCCCATCAGATCCCACTCCATGGATCCCATTGGATCCCAGCTCTTTGGATCCCAATATCCCAACCCTTTGATCCTGTCATACCCCACCCTTGGATCCTGTCAGATCCCATCCAATGATCCCATTGGATCCCATCAGATCCCAGCCCTTTGATCCCCTTGGATCCCATGAGATCCCATCCATTGATCCCATTGGATCCCACCCCTTGGATCCCATGAGATCCCATTCTTTGATCCCATGAGATACCATCCCTTTGATCCCATCAGATCCCAATTCTTTGGATTGGATCCCGATATCCCAACCCTTTGATCCCTATGTCTCAATTCTCTGATCCCATCAGATCCCACCCCTCTGATCCCAGCCCAAAATCTGGGATCTGGAGCCACAAATCCCAAACCCAGCAGGGCCCTCAGGCCTGGTCTGCAGCCAAAATCCCCAAAATCCCATAAAAACAAGGATGGGTCTCCAGATGTTCCACATCTGCCTGAGCTGGGTGAGAACATTCCAGCCTGGTTTTTATTGGGAATTTCCTGGCTGGCACCAGGGACTCATCCCAAACCTCCTCCCCTGCTTGTGGGGGATGAATCCTTCCCAGATTCCTGGGAATTGGGCCCCTACAAGCAGGAAAGTGGGTTTGGGATGAATCCCTGGGGATGTTCCCAGGGAATTGGGGGAATTTTTCCCCTATAAATACATGATGAGGTTTGGGATGAATCCCTGGGGATGTTCCCAGGGAACTGGGGGGATTTTTCCCCTCCAAGAAGGGGAGGTTTGGGATAAATCCTGGGGATGCTTCTAGGTAACTGGGGGTGAGTTTTCCCCCTACAAACACATGATGAGGTTTGGGATGAATCTCTGGGGATATTCCCAAGGAATTGAGGGGATTTTTCCCCCTCCAAGCTGGAAAAGCTCCGCCAGCCTCAGCGAGGGAGGTAAAGGAGGGGGAGCAAAGCCCAAATCCTTCTTTCCGTGTAAATCCTCCACAGGAGCCGAGTGTCACTGAGGGATTTAACACCCAGCTTAAAATAGGGAGTGAGCCTAAAAATAGTCCCGAGTGACACTAATCCCAGGATGGGGACAGCCACAAGTGACACCAGTCACGGGATGGGACCGGGATTGGGATTAGGATGGCGACAGTCATGACTGACAGCTGTCCTGGGAATGGGGCCTGGATTGGGATGAGGACAGGACTGGGACAGGGACAGCCACAAGTGACACCAATCCCAGGATGGGATCTGAATCAGGATGGGGCCTGGATTGGGATGAGGACAGGATTGGGATGGGGACAGGTTTGAGACAGCACTGTGACAGAGACAGACAAGACTGACACTGATCCCAAAATGGCGACAAGATCGGGATGGGGACAGGATTGGGATGGGGACAGCCACAGGTGACACCAATCCCAGGATGGGGTGGGGATTGAGATGGCATCAGGATGGGGATGGGGACAGCCATGAGAGCCAGGTCAGGGCTAGGATTGGGATTGGGATTGGGATTGGGATTGGGATTGGGATGCACTTCTTGCTGTCCCTGCTCAATCCCACTCTCCTCTGTGAGGCCAGGAAGGGACAGGGACATGCTGGTGCTGTCCCAGCGCTGAAATTCTCAGTGGGAAAAGACGGGATCCCATTCCAGCAGAACCATTTGGTAATGGGATATTCCCAAAGATTCTCAGCCTTCTTCCCAATTTTCCCTTGTCCTGAAAATGAAGAGGTCAGAAATTATCTTTTTTTAGTCTCTCAAGTTTAGCCCTTTCTTTCCCCCAAAAAGAATTTAAAAAACCTGAAAAGGGACCCAGAAGGGAAAAAAGGGGTTTTCCTGATTTCCACACTTCCCTGGGGATATTCCCAACAAGTTCAAAGCCAAAGATTGAGGGATAGAGGGATCCCACTTTCCCTGGAAGTTTTGGGGTGGGAAAATAATGCAAATATCTAAGGAGAGGAGTTGGGTCCAT